ACTAATCAGTAAATATAATACGTCTGAACAAGACTATTCAGTGTAAACTAATCAGTAAGTATAATACGTCTGAACAAGACTATTCAGTGTAAACTAATCAGTAAATATAATACGTCTGAACAAGACTATTCAGTGTAAACTAATCAGTAAGTATAATACGTCTGAACAAGACTATTCAGTGTAAACTAATCAGTAAGTATAATACGTCTGAACAAGACTATTCAGTATAACTAATCAGTAAGTACGATACGTCTGAACAAGACTATTCAGTATAACTAATCAGTAAATATAATACGTCTGAACAAGACTATTCAGTATTAACTAATCAGTAAGTATAATACATCTGAACAAGACTATTCAGTATAACTAATCAGTAAGTACGATACGTCTGAACAAGACTATTCAGTGTAAACTAATCAGTAAGTATAATACGTCTGAACCAGACTATTCAGTATAACTAATCAGTAAGTATAATACGTCTGAACAAGACTATTCAGTGTAAACTAATGTTGTTGTTGGCTATACAGTGGGCTATCTGTGCTGTGCTCACCACGGGTATCGCAACCCGAGTTTTAGCGTCGTAAGCCTGCAGACTTACTGTTGAGCCCCTTCTGGTGTGTAAGGGGTGGGACATGGCTACGTAAGATTACTTTTCACTGTATAGAAACTTCAACGTATCTTTCTTTAACAGTTGTTTTGGTTTTACACTCGTTAACAACTTAAGTTTATCACACAATTCCAAACTTATAATTTTGAGCACTTTTTCAGTATCTGGTCAAACTGCACTTAGTCGAAATGCGTATACGTCACAAGAATACATAATTTCCATGTTAGTAGAATTAATATGTATTCATATTAAATTTATATTGTAATTCAAAACATAAATATGCAAGTACTTTAGGATGAAAAGTTAACCAACAATTTCTATTTTTACAGAAAACCCTTTTCTAAACTACCAACTCAATACGAGATATTTTAAAAAGAGAGAACCTAGTATAAAACTAATTTTAAGTTATGAACAAAGTTTTAAACCAAGACTATAATGTTGATAAATTAAGACAGGGTTGGTCAACCAGTGGAGAATATATTAAACTTTTCTGGGGGAGGGGGCAGTGTGTTCAGATAATACAGTTATATAATGTATGTTTTTTGTTTAAACGTAAGTTTTACAAACTCAGAAATATATAGTTCGCATTTATGTTTCTCAATCTGTTTTATAACTTTCCTTATTTAAATCTACAAAGCTGCGCTTATAAAGCAGAGAACCAATCAGAGCAGGCGTTGAATTTAGCTGGATTTCAGTGAGTCTGTTGTTCACGTCATATTACTTAATTGTGCAGTATACGAAATAGGGTAGATTTATAGTGCGTAAAAAAGGCACCAGTTCCTTCCGACATCATATTTGTGTATGTTTATGTCTGGGGGGAGGGGTTGACAAATTATGCATTTTGGTAAAGTTGCGCTTGCCCCCAAAACGTTGAGAATCCCTTGAGTTAAGAGAACAACGTTTAAAACAACAATATAAATGTAGTGTACTTTCTCCTTGCATGCTGTATTATGAGGGTTTAAGGGTGTAGTGTACTTTCTTCTTGTATGCTGTATTATGAGGGTTTGAGGGTGTAGTGCATTTCTCCTTCTATGCTGTATTATGAGGGTTTGAGGGTGTA